GACAATATAGTGACTACTTGTTCCAACAGCCCTTCTAAGGATGAAAAGTTGTTAGAAACATAGATATCCATAAAGAAGGGATGTCTAAATAAATGAAAGAAGCTCTATAGGGATATTATATTGTCATAGTAATATCATCACTTACGGTAGTATACAGAGTATAGAGTATAGTGGGATCTGCCTTAGAGGTGGGCTACATGGGTTTAAATACTAGGTTCTGTTACTTACCAGATATAGATAGCATTGAACACGTTACCTAATGTTTCTGGGCTTCAGTTTCTTCAGTGAAGATGACAATAGTACATCTGTTTCTTAGGACTGCTGAGAGACTTGAATGAACTAATGCATATTAATTAACCTAGCACACAGTAACCACTCTATTTTAAAACTCAGCATTGGGTTTTAAAAACATGTAATCCTATGGAATACTAGAGAGAGAAGAATCAAGTAACCTATACATATATTAGTTGGTAAAACTCTCTGGTGCACATGATTTGAATGGAAACAACACTAAGGGCATTCCAGGATTTAGTCCTCTAACTCTTCAAGCTTTTAATGGAGGAAAACTGCTGTAAATTTTCTACAGGTGATGTCAGGATGTATATGGATAATAGAAGGGCGTAGCATTGATCGAGGCAGTGACCCAAAAGAACTGATTTTTATATAGGTGGATGGATGAAAAAATGATAGATAGATGATTGATTGATAGATGATAAATAGACTGATAGATAGATAGATAGATAGATAGACAGATAGATAGACAGACAAATAGAAAACAGACAGACAGACAGGTAAGAGGTATGTAGGCGGATAGAAATGAGTGGATAAATGACATGCATACGAAGAGAGAGATGAACATAAAATACACCCATCATTGTAACTTTAAAGCATGAATAAAAAGGTCTGCAAAGGTACAAATTACTTGTATCTTTTCATAATGAGGAGAGCAAAGGCTGAAGGGATCCACTAAATCCCTAAACACAAAGGCACCAAGACCCTGGGGGAGGGTTTGGGCCCATCTGTGCCCTTCCACCACGCCACACTGCCTCTAGAGACCACCCAGGAGTTGAATGTGACAGAGGTGGGAGGAAGGGGCCTTCGTGTCCGTAGTGGCTAGAATCGTGTTGTTCTGTTTTTCATTAATGAACCTGTTGGAATGTGCCATTCAGCAGCTGAGCTCAATGGTTCCTGCTGTCCCAGCAGAACCACAGCTACTTCCCAGCCACGTTCTAGTCTTGTCTGTACGGGGACTGGGGAAGGGGCAGACTAGTCAGAAGGTGCCTGCTGCATCCGCCAGGAACCCACTCTGCAGACTTCTTCCCGGCTCAGTCCTCACTCACGCACCTCCCCTGGGAGTCCCTAATGGACTCCCACGAGCATCCTGGAAAATTGGCTTCTATCAGCCTCGCTGTTCGCTGGCCTCAGTGGCACACAATCAGTCACTTTTTCAACTTGGCCTAATGATTTTGAGAATCTTCTCTGGTTCTAACAACCAAAGAACACAGGGAATCTCCTTGTTTCTTTTCTCTGGTGTTCTGTTATAAAACTATAATCAATTCTTCCTTGGCAAACATGATACTTAATGAAAACCTCTGGCCATTTTAGCTGCCTTTGAAATTTTGAGAAGAACTTTCCTAATCTGGATGAAAACACCATCTGTCCCTTCCCTTTTGATTTTAGGAGCAGATGCCTGCCTTAGGATGTCAAGGGGTCAAGGAGAGCTGTAAAGTGTCATAACTGTGGCTGAATGCATGCCTCACCCCTGCTGGGTGGCCTTGCATGAGCATAACCTTGTTCAGCCTCAGTATTTTCCATCTGAGCAATGGGTGCAATACCTAACTTAGGGTTGCTGAGGAGTAAACATCTTTGAAATGCTTGCACCCCAGTACAGGTCTGAAAGCTTCCTTCCCTTTCTTCCTCTGCCCAACAACAGTCCTCTGGCCAGGCTTCCCAAGATACTATTAGCCTTGGTACATGTGGTATGCACACTCACAGGTACACACACACACACACACACACACACACACACACACACACACACATATATATATAAAACACTAGGTAGTTGGCCCTTCTCCCAAGCCCCATTATTTCATTTCTTTTTGTCTACTTGTATGTGGGAGTAAGAGGGCATGGACCAAGTTTCTCTAAAAAATGGCTTCTTTGCTAACACTGCTTCAGATCTGACGCTGAAGGAACCCCCTGTCAAAACAACTCAACGATATCAGGGCTATTCTCCAAGGCTGGCAGCTGCTCCTCCCCAGCCCAGGGGCAGCTCTGACACCCTTCTATCTCCACCAATACCACTGCCCAATTATTCCTTGTGAATGGAGTCAGAGAGAAGGGTTTGGCCTTCTGAAGCAGAATTCTCTCTACCACTCCCATCTCTTCAGAAACCACCACACACACACACACACACACACACACACACACACACACACACACACCACCCCACTCCAATTTTCAGAATTCTCTGAGTATTACCCACCCTTTCCTGAACTAAGGCTGCCAGAGCAAGATCTGCCTGGCCAGGGCTGCCTCCTTCATTCCCAGCACCAGCCCCTGTCCCTTCAGAGTCAAGGTTTTGAAGGAGTTTCAGGGGCAATGGCTGGTAGGGAGAGGGCCCCACGTGAGGTGACTGCTGGCAAGTCCCTTTCTTTGCCGCACAGTGTATCTGATAAGCCCCCATGTAGTTTATTCTTCTAAACACTTTGATAGGGTGCAGGACCTGCAGTTGCCATAGAAACACCTTTTAACTCCTCCTCACCCAGAAGGTTGTGCCAGTCCCCTGGGCTTTGGAGAAGAAAGGGAAAAGAGACACCCGTGGATAAAGAGACAGGCGAGGGATAGCCATTGTGGGGTGGTGATGGGGGCTTACTAAGGGCTAAGCTAGGCATGCTATGCCCTTCCCTGGCAACATGGCATCTGTCCAGGATGAGAATCCATGCAGGAAGGTTCTAGAAGAGAAAGGTGGCAGGCTAGCTTGAGCATACTTAGGGGGCTCCAGTGTCCAGAGGACAGTTGGGAGCCATCTACTGGAGGCAGCGGTGTCTGCCGTCAGGCAGCAGGTCAACAGGCCGGCAGGCCCACACCCACACCTCCCATTTTTAAAAGCATTATCTCATCCCTTGTGCAGTGCACCAAACTAAAGACTGAGTCTGGATCCCTGCCAGAGCAAAGGTTTTTCTTTCTTTTGCTCTCTCTCTTTTTTTCTTCTTGCTTCTACACTGTTCTGGGTTTGGCATATTTCTTGGTAACTTAACTTTTCTCTGAGAAGTGTATTAAGAGGAAGAAGCCGTTTCTTGAATAAATCCAGAGAAATTACAAGAAACTTCATCAGTCCCCAACTAGAGTAGGGCCCTTATGGAAGCAATGGGCTGATTCCAGGAAAGCCCACTGGGAACAGGATCTACTGGCTCATGTTGCTACTTTCCCATGAACTTCAGGGTAGAAACTTCTGGGCAATAGGCTCCTGGAATAGAGATGAGATCCCTCTCTCCCCTAGACATACTACAAAGTCAAACTAAGCACACCCAGCCCACTGGGAAGCAGAAAAGAACACCCGGATTCCACCTGCTAGCTCACAGGCCAGGAGCATGCTCTAGGCTGAGCAAAACCAGAACTAACTAGCTGGGAATGTCACAGGCTGGCAAGAGGAGAGAAAAGCGAGAGGAATCTGGGTGGGGGCACTCAGGAGACTCGAGAAAACCTTCCCAGGCCCCCAGCAATCCAAAAGGATGCTTCCCAGCAATCCAAGGACAGGGAAGGGTGTGTGCCTGCAGGTCCCAGGAAACCTCCAACAGGGTGACTGCAGGTCACACAAATACCCTGGGCTGCCAAGTCCACTGACCTGGCCACCATAGCCACCTCCCAGATTTCCCCCTAGGTTGGCCTGAACCACCAGCAGTGACTCTCCAACCTCAACCAGGTCGCCACCCCTCCCCCTCCTCACCACAGCACACTTGCAGAGTGGAATCCCTCACCTAAGACCCAGTGGAAAATTTCCTTCTCCTTTATGACCATACTTAAAACACACATGCTCCATTCTTCACCTCTGAATCGACACAGGCCAAGGGCAGTTTCGTGTCCCACCCCTGCCCTGCAAACCCTGCAAGCAATGCAGGAGCATTGGACCGGGTGCTGTAGGAGCTGGAGAAAAGAGAGATTTTCCAGCTTCCACTCCACCTGGGGCCCCTCCAAACACAAGTGTCCCCAGCACTCTTCTGGCCCTCTGGACAGTGGGCTCTGCTTCTTATTAAGTCTCTCTAATCAGCAAACAGTCTCTTGGCATCTTTGTTCCTTTGATGATAAATCTGCTTTCCCCATTGCTCACTCTCCCTCGGCACATATATCCAAGACAGAAAAAAATAATAGTAACAATAACCTTCCTGTGAATTTTCACAGCTATGTGGTAAGTGACCCCCTACAGTCACCTCAAGCCAGCTATCAACACTCAGATGCAGGTCTCCCAGGGCGGGGGGGGGGGGGGCAACCCTACAGTTTTCTCTTATGTGTTTTTTTCACCACCACCACCACCGCCACCCCCGTTTCCAGCCACCCAAACTTGGCAGGCAAGAAGCTCCATTAGCACTTGCTGGGAGAGCCTGCCGATAGGCTGGGTTGGATCTCAAAGAAAAGAATGAAGTTCAAGGGCGCGGGAGATAAGCAATCTCTGAAAGCTATGAGTTTTCTCTAGCAACTCCGCCCGCACAAGCTGGCAACTTCTCTTAAAGAGTACTCGAGGTCCTAGCGCTTCAGTTGGCGGTCCAACTTTTCAGAACCTTCTCCCACCCTCCTCTTCCATCTCTTTTCCCTTCAAGAGTCAATGGGGAAAATTTCTAGACGTCAAGCAGCGACCACGCTCAACTCCTGCCTGCCAGAGACCTTTAGGACACTGAGTTCCCTCTGCAAGGCAACTCCCTACACGGAGTCCCCGCCCAGGGAAACTGAGTCTCCTTGCTACAGCGTGCAGCTTGCTTGGGGCCTCCCAGAATGCTTACCGATGTCAGAGTTGCAGAAGGCATCCTGGGGATGGCTAGGCGAACATGTGCACGCCTCGGCGCCCCAGTGCCCAAGGCTCCAGCAGCCCAGGAGCACGACAAGCCCAAGCCAGGAAGTCATAGTAGCCGCTGCGATCCGCTGCGGGGACTGCTGCTCTTCTCTTCAAAGTTGCCGAGTGCTGGCGCGGATATTGCAGTCCGAGCTCACTCGCCAGGTCTGACCGTGCACGCTGGGCAACTTTGAGCTCCGGGAAAGTGCCCTCCAAGTAGCCCGGCGGGACGGGTTGGGACGCGGCGAAGTGGCCTTGGGTAGCTGGAGCACGCGTCCGCAGAGCCAGCGAGTGGCCTCCGGGAGAAGGATCGGGAACCAGAGCGGAGAAGCGGGAGAAGAAGCTCTCTGGCGCTGGCTGCTGCCCGCTGCCCACTGTGCGCAGAGTCCAGGGCTGCAGAGTGATATAGGGGCTCAAGGGGAACCCAGCCCCTCGGGAGCTCGGGGGCCGCCCCCTCCGACCAATGGCAGCGCCGCATTACCTCATCGGCCCTCCAAAAGGGGGCGGGGCCGGGGGGCGCGGGGCGACAGGGCGGGGCCGGCCCGGACTGTTCAGATCCTTATAGGGAATAATGCGGTTGTGGGCACTCGAGTGGGTGGGCTGGGCGCGTCCTGGGCCAGTGTGCGCTGCAGCGGCGCCCCACGGCCCCGTTGCCCTACACCCACCGGCACTCCGAGCGCCTTCGACCCAAACAAGTCTTCACTCCCAGCCACCCAGCCAGGCAGCACAATCCCTTCCAAGGGACCTAGGTGGCCCACGCCCTAGAGTCCTTGATCCTGCCTCCTGGAAAAAGTCTAGAAGGAAGCCTCGAAGAAAATTTCACCTTCCTACCTTCCTTAGAGAGAGTAGAGAGTAAGAGGAAACACCTGGGTAGATGACATTATCTCAGCCCCTAACACACACACACACACACACACACACACACACACACACACCCTCTGCCTTTTGGGACTGGCTATGGTAGTTGTCAGTGTGAGTAAATGGAGCTGTGGAATCATTCACCAAGCACTGTTCTGGACACCAAGCAAAGCCCTTGCAATCAGGGCGATTGTACTAGCGCTACAAGGAAATTAGAATAGATATAGACCTAGGTAAGAGTGACTAAGAGGGCGTTGCTGTCTATGGGACACTAAAAGAAGAGTTCTCAGAGGTGACATCAGGCAATGAGAAGAGCAAGTCGAAAGGCCTGGGTCTTCTTTAAGGACAGAATATAAAATAAACAGGGAGTATGATGGCTGATCTCACTGGTGGCAGACAGCAGTCTTTCCTTCAGCAGAGAACTTTGAGGTAAAGCAATCCAAAAGTGGAATAAAACCAGATCCTGGAGAAAACTAGCCAGGATCCTGGAGAAAAGTATCCTGGATGTCTAACTAACAGAAGATATTGGTAACGTTATTACCACCTCATTTTAAGTAGCTCTTGATTGTGACATGTGTGGTACACACACTATTGTTGTTCTGTCTTTTTGAGACACAGTCTCACTGTGTAGCCCAGGCTGACCTTAAACCCCAAATCCTCCTGCCGTGGCTCCCCACTGCTAGTTGAGGATATACAGCACCACTCCTGGCCTATGCCACATGTTTTTGAAGGCAGGATTCCATACTCTGTTCCTTCTGGTTAGGAAAAGCAAGTACAGGTGTCACATGTACCTTCCAGCTGAGGGGGCGCTCCTGTCACACTCTCTCTCGGACTGTTCTTATCAAAAGAGACAGATGACCCTGGACTTCGCAGTCCCATCTAACTGGCAATGGTGGTCTTACAGCAATCCCTCTCCTGCCTTATGCTCTATCCAGTGTTGAAAGAGATGTGTGTTTTAGCTACAGAAATGCTGAAAACTTGGAACCAAAAAAAAAAGAGGAAAATGTAAGGGAACCCCTTGGCTTATCCCTGAGAAGAGACTCTTTGCAGAAGCAGAGAGTATTGTGATAATTGTATTGCCCTTGTTAGGTTGTTTTGTGTCTTTTATTGGTGTTGCTGCTGCTGTTATTTTGAGACAGGGTCTTATTATGTAGCCCAGGCTGGCCTTGAACTCTCAATCCTCCTGCCTCAGCCTCCCAAATGCTTCTAAGAACATTTTGTAAACTCCCTCCAAGCATTCTAACTATAGAGAAGAAAACCCAGCTCCCTCTTTCTTTCTCATCCCTACTCAGCTCTGAAGCCCCTCCCCTCCTTAATTCTGTTCCATGGTGCCATGGCCCCCTCATGCTCTTCTAGCCCCATCTCCTGGAATATGCTTATATTATTTCCCTTCCTGACACTAGGAGGCCTGAGCTATTTGGCCACAATGCTGTTTTAGCCCTCAGAAGGTCCCAAGAGACTAGAGTGTGGATATAGCCAGTAACCACTTGAGGCCGGAGCCTTGGACACCATGGGGCCACTCTAAGGAACTGGGTTGAATGAGGACATACTTGGTGGGATTTGAGAGGTTCGTTGAACCTTGCCCTGTGCCAGTCATGTGGAAGGCTTTAGAAGAGCTTGTAGACAAATCCACTTGGGATAAACATCTTACAGCCTAGAGGCCCTCTCTTCTCCGCTTTCCTACTACAAGAACTGTTTTGTCCAAAGTGCCATTTGTTTTTTCTCCAAGGGAGAGCCTTTTCTGGAACATAAGACAAGTGCCAAGCAGTTACTTTCTGCCACATGCCACAGAGCAGATTCCTCAGAGAGCCCCTCTGAAGTGTGTCCTGTTCCTACAGCTACTTCCTTCTCATAGTGTGGGTGTCCTCGGATTATTTTCCTTCCTGAAAGGTGCTAATTGGGGTTTATTTCCTCTCGATTCTTCTACTTTGGCTCGCCTCGAATCTGGGGGCTTCAGAGAACACAAAGAGCATTCTGGTCGGGAGTCTTCTCTTCTGCCTGGACTGATAAGGCCCTTCTCTGTCCACTTCTGCAAGGTCAGCTTAGTCGTGACCCTGTGATCGAGACAGAGGGTGCCCTGGAGTCCTCGTGTGGGTCTTGCAGCAGGCAGACCTCGCAGCCATCAATCTGGACATTAGGTTGTCCACCAGACTAATAATATGTGAGGATTGCTTTTTCTTATATTTTTAGTGAGCAAGATTGAGTGGACTTGGAGCTTGGGTAAGAGTGGAGATAATAGCTCTCCTGCTTTCTTCTGATATCTGAGAACAATGGCAGATTTGTTCTGGGGTGAGCTGAAGAAACTTTAACCAACACGTGGCTTGCCCTCAGACCTACCAGGCTCGCTTGGTCCCTCCGTTGGAACTTTTCTAGGGAAGGTGAGGACATGTCCACTTCCTGTGCATCAAATTTCAGAGGGTAGATCCTGTAGCAGGTATTTGCTTAGACATCTAAAGAAGATACAAAATTGCTCAGAGACTGTTTATCTTCATGTTCTACACCAGAAAAATAAAGTTTGGATGGAAGAACTTACCCAGCATCCCACAGTCAACTAGAGGCAGCACCAAGTTCATGTTGTGGACATGGATTCCTTAGTTTTCTGTCTGCATCACATCCACAGGGCTAAGTCTTCCAGGCTAGGCATGTGATAGATGTATTTCCATGCCCCAAAGTTGGCTCACAGAGAGCTACCTACACTGCTGAGGAGTTCTTGACCTCACTAATAGACCTTTCTGAGCTGGCCAGCATTATGCAGTGCTGTGCAATTAAGAGGGTTACCGCCTGTGTTTGAATTTCCCTTTCTAATTTATTACATGGTACCTTTGGAAAACTTTTGCCTGCTGAACAGTCACGCTCCCAATTCAGTGGACAAGTTACTTCTCTTGTTCAGATACCAATCTCCATGTTTATTCAATAAAAAAATTAAACTTTATGATTCCCAGCAAGATGCCCCCTTAGTAATTAAAAAAAAAAAAAAAGTCTACTATTCCCTGGGAAATCTCAAAGACAAGGTGAATGGCTGTGAAGGAACATAGATCTCGCCATGTGAGCAGGTTTGACATCAAACAAACATGCCCAAGACTGAGGCCCATCCACCACATTCTCAGTCTTTTCTTGCTCTTCCATCCTACTCAGTCTTCCAAGACACAGGGCTTAAAGCAGAGAATGCCAGTGGAGACTTGATGATAACGGAGCAGGAGAAACTTGGGGTCTTGTTTCTGGTGGAGCCTCTTATGGTTACCAATTCGTCTTTCTGTTTGTCTTTTGGATTGGAACATTAAAGGGTCGCGAACAAAATTTACTGGACTCTCAAGCCCTCCCAGTCTCAGCTTAGATGTTACCTCCTTAGTATAGCTTCTTCATTCCCTTCTACAGGATTCCCCACAACTCTTTGTTGTGTTCTTTTTCACACGTAGCTGGCTCTAATATGGTTGCTCATCTGCCTGTTTCCCTTCCTGAAGTATAAGCCCCTTAAGGATAGAGCATTGGCAACAGAGTTCAGTTCAGTTATGGCTGCGTGGATCCAAAGGTCCGTACTGGTCCTGCTGCCCAGTGTTGGGCTTGGAAGGTGACCGCTCCTCAGCGGGGCTCATCGAGCCTATCCCTCTGGCTAATGCTAGGGGGCGCTGTAAGCCAGAAAACACCGGTTCTCGGAGCCTTCAGCCTCCTAGTCTCATTGAGAAGCCTGGAGAGGGACAGATCCACACCAGGCAGTGGGGTGCCGGTCCCTTGAGTGGGTAAAGCGAACTCTTCCGGTCTGATTGCCACAAAGCTCTCAGTCAACATCTCGTCTGGATCCACAGCTGCCCGAGCTGTTCCACCCCTGGGCTGGGGCTTCCCTGGGAAGCGACACACTTGTGAATCATTGATCTGGGGGCCCTGGGAAGGTCTGGGAACACAGCGGAGGTTGCCACAGTTCCCCTCTACCAAGTGGGGTTCTGGAACCCGGAGAAGGTGCTGACAAACCTAGGTCAGGACCACTGCCACATAGGGAAGTTCCTCAGCTTCCCCCTTCCCCCAGACCCTAACCACAATGCCTTTCCCCAAACCCACAGTCCATGTGAAAGTCATTATATTCAAAATAGCCTTTTCCAAGCAACAGACAGCCTGGTCCACCCATCAGCAGGAGCCCTAGCCAGACCCTCAGCAGAGCTGCTGCCCAACATAGGGCGATTAGGAGCCTAAGAAGGTGGGTGCTTCAGGTTTACGCCACTGCCGTGCCTAGTACCAGCAGGGAGTAAACACCTTTCCCAGCTTCCATCTGGAACCAATTTCATGGCAGTAAAATTATAGGGCGTTTCTCACCCCAGCTCCCTCACCCCTACCCCTGCCAGGGAAGTGAAGACCCCTGGCTGTGTTCACGTGAATACTGAGGTTTTCGAATTTCTTTCCATAGACAGCTATTCCCAGGAATTTTAAGCCAGAAAACACATGTGTGTGGTAGAGACATTTTGTGTCCTGTTTTCTGGGGTGGTGGGAAATGGGAAGTAGAGTTAAATATTCCAATTCTTGGTTTTCTTTTAATGACTGTATGTTC